AGTTGCTTGAAGACGTTTCACCTCTCATCCGAGAAGCTTCTTCAGTTCTAAGGTCAAATGGTGGGGAGTCCCAGATTTAAACCTAGTGGGAGCTTCCCCCCAAAGAGGGACAAAAGGACCCCCTGATGATCCTCTAATCACATGAGCCAAGGTGTGAAAACGGGTGCGGGTCCCAATCAGCCAGGGTTTCGGGTGAGCTTATTGTGAAACCTGCCCCACCCTATCATGTGATTTCCTGAGGTCAGATGGCCCAGGATGTGAGTGGGCGTTCAGGCGTCTGGGGAGGGAACTCAAAACTGGATTATAGATGGCAGAGAGTTGGTGTCGTAAACCATCGCCTCTGTTCAAAGATGGTCGCTCACAGTGGACATAGATGGCTTCTAATTTTAAGGGTAATATTTATTTCAGGCTTTACACGGTTAAGATAAGTTTTTTTCAAAATAAAATAATAAATACGTTTTTTCAATTATAGACCTGGGAAGTGACAATAGGTCTCTGCAGGCAGTGTGAGTCAAAATATTACATTATTTTAAAAAAAACAAAAAACTTTCTCTCGTGTGTGTTGCTGTTTTTTTAATCAATTCAGTGAGAGTGACATGGTAAATTTTGCTTTTAAACTGTAAAACCTGATTCTGCTGGTTGTCTCTTCCTGCTAAAAAGGTTTTTTCCCTCTCATATTGCAGGGTATTTAGCTTACAGTATTAAGGCCCTTCAGGCAACTGTTACTGTGAATTTGTTATTGTAAATGAGCTTGAAATTGAATTCAAATTGCTAATTAGGAATAATTCAAGTAGCCTACAGCTTACTGGTGGTCATTATTCTGCAAGTAGGCTAACTTGTGCTCACGAGAAAAACATCACCTAACGGGACTTGGGGTCTTTCCTCTAATCAGTATGTCCTTTAAAAACCCCGAAGATTAGTAGCTTGTGAATTGTAACAACAATTCCTCATCGTTTTATCAAGTTATTTCATTCAAAATCAAGAGGAAACATCAGGCAGCTCATAAAGACTGAGGCCAGTGTGGCCTGTTTGTGCATTATTGTGTTCTCTGTTATTGTAGGGTCTTTATCTTACAATACAAATGGAAATTAAAGACGCTCCCACAGTGCACCAATGCTGAAGTGGTGCAGGTCACACGCAGAAAGAGATCAGCAGCAACCAGAGACCACAGGGTGTCAGTGAAATTCATCAGTGTGGGGTAAAGGACACTGCTGCCACACCACCGGCAAGATTACACCGAAACATTTGAGGTAATAAACAAGAGGGTTATCTACGCAACCAGCCAGGAACAGCTGCAGAGCAATGACTTTAGATTCAACTGAGGCTAAAATTATAATGCAGGTTTCTTCCCTTGATTTAATAAAAGATTCATTTGGTTTTTAAAAGAATATGTAAAGAAAATTTGATGGTAAACAGGTTGAAATAATCTTATCGCAGTAGCAGAATGAAGACACAAATTATCTATTAATAATTCTCTTTAGTTTCAAAAACCATTTGTTGATACATTTTTTAAAGATGTAATCATTGTTTATCCTGTACCAGAAATGACTTCATCAGACAAATCACAAAAGCCTGACATGGACTTTATGAACATCCTTCAGATAGCTTAAACTGTAAACTGTAAGTATCAGCACAAAGTTTGAGCGGCGATCTGGAAAGGTGATCAGTTTTATTAACACTTAAATGAGACCTGGGGGAGGGAAAAAGTGGGCATTTATTTTCATCAATAAATCTCTTATCAGCTGCCTCGACATTTTGCTCCACAGAGGGTGACAGGCATTTCCATACAAGGACACCGCGGTGGACATGGGGCTCTAAATATAGAAGGAAACCCTATCTGGGCCTGTTGCTCTGCAGAACATGTGAAAGTGCTACCTGTCGACTTACTGACGATCATGTTTTATTGGCCTGGAACATCAACATTTGTCGCAGACCGCTCTTACCGTGTTGCCAGATGTCAGAGAGTCGCCCCCATCGTGCTGAGGGCCCTGATAGACTCTGAGCTGGGGATGTTCCTGGTACTCTGAGCTCGGATGTGCAGAGCTAAAGTCGAGAGTTGCCAGTCTGCTGGCGGACGTTGGGGGACCTTGACCTGGTGGGGGGTAAGAGGGAGGCGGGGCATAGACCTGAGGCAGGGCAGGGTCTGCGCTGCCTGGGGCAGCCTCCTGAGTGGGGGCCCCCTGAGGAAAAGAGGAAGAGGGAGACGAATGAGCCACTCATGCCAGAATATGACAGCGTAGATGTAAACAAACGAAACACAAGATGTTGTAGTTGATCTTCTGTTTTTACAATAAAACAAACTGCATAAACACGCTGCAGTGACACTGTGATCTTTAATGAAGATGACAGATACACAAATAACACAATAAATGATTGTTCCACCCAATTTTACACATCAGTTTAACTGTTAGAAGGAGTAAAATGCTGTGAAATCTCTTAAATAATCTGATAATAATAATCATAGCAAAAGATGTTTTTAATAGTAATAGTAAGACAAAATACAAAGTTAAATAAGCTTGCTGGTAGGTTGCGGTGTTTGGAAGATGTTGTCACTAAATTACCTTATATATTTACTTTTTTTAAAAATAACTGTCTTTTGTGAGTTTGTTTTTTGTGTGTGGTAATAAAGAAATAGTAAATTATCCTTGAAAAATACATCTGATGACCAGTCCTAAACTCTACATTTCTTTTTGCTTTTCCAAAGCAACATCCAAGTATAGATATAATTAAAAACATCTGTAATATTAAGACATTTCTCACAATTGTAATAACTGGTTCAATCTTAATGCCAAACATGGAGCTCATTGTTAAATTGAACTCTTTCTGTTTTTTCCCATTACAAATGACAGATTTGGCACTTGAAAACAATATTTATGTCCAAAATGTTGACTTTATGTAGTACAATGTCATGTAAAATCAGTAAAATTATTGGAATCTCATCAGATTCAACAGCCACAGGTATGTTTTAAGTCTCATAGACTTTAGAATCTCTAATATCCATTTTAATTAAACAACAAGCAGAGCAGACAAAAAGCACAACTGTTTACTTAAAAACTTTTTTTTTTTTTAAAAAAGCGTAACAAATGTTTGTCAGGAGCACATTTCTACTAAATATAAGGACCGATAGTATGAAACAGACCTTCTAACCCGCTGCTTCATAAAACTACCTTTAATGAGAAAAACAAGATTAAACAGGAAAACAGGACCTCCTCCAAACCAAGTGTAAGCAGTGGTTTGGAGGAAACTCCTGCGCAGTTTCCATTCGAGTGAGGTAAAAAGCAGAGAAATAAAAGCGGTCTTACCCCCTTACTGCATTCCTCGATCTCTGATGCATTGTCTAACAACTGCCGCATGTTTTAATGCCAGCTGACCACCCGCCCACCGCACCATAAGTTCTACCCATCCACCAATCACATCAAATGATTGCTAGAGGAAAAGTGACCGGGGGTGGCTGTGGGTGGGGGAGGTGTTCCACACCAGCTGTGGACATCTGTAACTGTCAGTCACCTTGTTGCTCCCACAAAGAGCCCAGAGGGCCCCTCTAACCTACTCATGAACACAGAAAGCGTACGGAGCTTCCCCCCCAGGATTAAGTATTTATGAATGTGTGTGCACCTGCTGAGGGTGCATCGCGCTAAATGTCGCCTCCGAGAATATCGAGCCTGACAGACACGGTTTTATTACCTCAGAGACATTTTCATGAACATCTACTTCTCTTTGTGTTGTGTGGAGTGGCTCAGTTGCCTTTTAAGAAACAGAGGACTTTACAAGCACAATAATCACATCAATGTTTGGGTTGGATGCGAGTGAAGTGCTTCGCTGATCTTACTACATCATGACCACACAACAGAAAAAACAACAAAGTGAACACATTTACCCAGCTGTCAGACTACAGCATACTTATACTGCTTACACTTGAATTTCTGATGTTGAGCTTGCTTTGTACTATAAACCTACCGCCGCCTCGTTTTGGACCCAGCCATGCTTCAGGAAGGCCGAGATGCATCAGTGATTCAGTAGTGTTAAAGATCCCACCACATCAACATGACAGTCTGCACTCCCTGACAACGTCTGGCAGGAGATATGAGTCCCGCGTCACACACCAGGAGACTAAGAAACACAGTCTGTGCAGCCTCACCTCTTCACACTGACTGTCTACGTATATGTTGTATATATGCCGCCTTCTGTACTGTTATATATGTATTTAAACTTTATGATGTATTGCTTTATATCTTGTGTTAGGACTTCCAGCTGAAGCATTTAACACAATAGTTCTTGTATAAACAGATGAAATATCTGTGACGGGCCTTCTCAGACTTTCAGGAGACAGGGAGTTCTTACAGGAGGGAAAGTTTTCCAAGGACCTCATTGCAACAGTAACACTGAGTGGCAGATTCTTACTATTGGAGCTGTTCGTCCTCTAAACTTTTCCATCTTAATACTTCAGACACATGTGACATGATATGTTTCAACCACATGAAAGTTTGTGCTGATCATGAAGATAATGTAAAGAGCCCGTATGTTCATTCTGATGGTGGACAGTCCTCATTTAAAGATGTACAATAACGCTGCAGCACAATGTTCAGATGAAATTATTTTGTCTTGGCTTCCGGATACAACTTCACAAATCTAAGAACATTTATTCTGGAAGACAATCCTGGAAAATACTCACATTTGTGAGGATTCCCCCACAGTAACTGGGAATATTTCTATTAGAGCACTGATACTTTCACTTAATCGCCGGATCAGAGGATACCCTGAGTTGTCTCACAAGCAAAATGCCACAAGTGTGTCAGCTGCCTTCAGGATTTAAAGGAGTCATGATTAAAAAAAACCTCTATCCCACGCCAGCTCATAATGGCTGGCATAGCTCTGCTGGCTGTTGTACTGAGAGGTGTGAAACATTCAGATTTGTTGACGCAAGATTTGAGATGAAGGAGAAACTGGTTGTATAAGCAAGGAAATGGTTGTCAGTCAGAGTCTTGTTGGCTTGGAGGATTTCATTTGACCATTCTCTGTTGGTTTGGAGGAGGATATTTAATAAAGTGTGCACTCTCAACAAACCAGATTTGACATTAAAGCAGGCTTCACCCTGATGACCGCTGAATGAGGAAAAGTTGATGGAGATGATTAATCTGCAGCTCTTACTCGTTATTCAAGAGAAATATTTAAGTTTGAACCAGAGCTGAGAGATAGTGAATGAGGGGCCGTCCAACTCTGAGGCCGTTCTTAACTTTTGCACTGGAGCTGGAACATGTTTCCAAATATGTCGACACAACTTGCACCTGCACTCTGTCCTACTTATCAGAAGAAACGACCGATCTAGCTGCTCTGATCCTCCTCCGAGATATAAAAGCGATGTTGAGCGAAGAAAATGCATCTGTTAGATATCACTGTCAACTCTCCCCCCACCTTACAGACTAACTAACTAACCAGCCACTGTGTCTGATTCAGCACCACAGTCTCAACCCGAGACTCCTCACGGGCTTGTTTTTTATTATCATTTGCCATTTGTTCCCCCTCTCTCGCTCGTCTCCTTCCTCAGCTGCTTGCTTGCGGTCAGAGGTTGACGGCTCGGAGCCAGGTGCTTGCTGGGACAGCTGCCACGGGATTTACACAAGACGAAGCTGACTGCAGATGTGGCCTTTTGGTGCTGGCCGAGTTACAAATGTTAGCAACATGTAGCTTATTAAAGTGTAACACAATATTCCTTTTTTTCATCTATCCATCTGCTCATTCTGCACATCCTCCTATTGAGAGACACGACAGGCTTTTTGTTTATATTGCTGATAAAAAAAAGAAGAAAAGATTGCTGATAATGAGGAGAGAGGAGTTTTACAAGCTGCCAAATGTTGTGTTAAAACAGATGCTCCACATCAGTCATAAAGGAATTTCCCCAGCACTTGGAAATATGACACTTTTAAAAAAGGGAACAATTGCTGGATTGAAGTGAAGGATTAGAGCATTCCGGTACGCTGTATACTGTGTATATTGTTGTACTGACAATAAAGTTCTTGAATCTTGGAAGATCTAGCCGGGGCTTCGGACTATTTACTTCAGTGCCAGTCACCTTCAAATAACAATTCTTTCTGCATCCGTTTTCCATAAACAGCTCTCTGAACCTTATGAAATAAGTCAAGGTTACCCCGGAGGAGCCTAATATTCAACATTTAAATGCACAACAGGCTGGTTTCACACATTTATCTTAAGCACAGCTCACTGCAGGACACAAGACAGGTGACAGACCCTCTTCCTGTGATTATCTGCTCAGGAGAGGAGGGCTAAAAATACAGCTGGTGTGAAGCACAGAGACAAGGTAGAGAGATACTAAATGAGCTGTGGCATTAGTGGCATGTCAGGGACACTTGCTGGTGGACTAAAGATAACCACTAATATGTCCTTACTAGTGAATAAATAAGACATTTCAAAACTAGCACACTTCACACAGATCCTGTTGCATATTAAGCAACGCATCGATATACTAAATTAGATTAAACTGTGACTTAGGGCCTTTTGGCTTCTTCTGCTCACTGGAAAATGTTTTAAGTTTTACAAAATACAGGGGAATAAGATCTTTTTAGTTTAATCATTAAGCAAAATCATACAAACGTGCTGATTTAAATGTCCAATTATTTGATTATATTTCTTAATGTGAGTATTTGGGTAAATAAAAGAATAAATATAAAAACCAGAGCTCTAGAAATGCAAAATAATTGACACTGAGATTAAGAATTGTAATAATAAATAATATTATTTTGTTGCATAAAGTTATAGTTCCCCAGTAGATGCTTTCCGGGATGTATTTATGTGATAATGTCTGGCCACAGAGTAAATCAAGAGGTTTACCTGAACTATGCTGGGGTAGCATGTGGTTGCCTGTGGGTAGACGGGGAGTCCATAAGGCTGGAGGATCACAGTGGGTGAGGAGAGCATAGCCCAAAAACCACACACGAGGAGATGAGGAACGGAGGAAAATGGGAGGAAAAGGAAAAGGAGAGCAAGGGGAAAGGAAGGGTTGATGTACACACAGAAGAGCAGGCGATCAGGCTGGAAATTTTTTTTAAAAAGGGAGGAAAAATCCCAAATGAAGGAAACAGAAACTCCAAGAAAGTGAGGGAGGTGGGAAAAAAGACCAAGCTTAAGACTTTTGCTTCACCTCGAAAATGAAGTCAAGCAAGAAAACACAAGGGAAACCCCCCAAAACACCCGGAAAAGATGGGATTTAGAGCAGTGAAAGAGAAAGCCAGTGAGCTTCTGTGTGTCCATCAGTTGATCATGCAGCCTGACAGACAGAAACACATGGTCAGGGTCCCATTTCAGAGTTATATAAATAGTCACCCATGTCCTTCTCTCTGAGTTTACCACCTTACCTCCCTCACTCTCACTTTGTAAGAGGAGATCTGTGACCACTCAGTCAAACCTCTGTGCAGAGTGAAAGAAGCAGGCCTTTCCCGCCTCTCTGTGCACATTGAAGCTGTGTGTTACACCATCTATGTAATGACATGAGGCCTGTTCGTGATTCAAGCGCATAAACAAACTTCATCTTAACTTCTTCCGTGTGTTCAGGTTGTGCTCTTCGCTTTGACCAACAGAGAGCGACAAACCCAGCGGGCCCGACTTCCGTTTGGACGGTGAGAGGCATCATGGGATATGTAGTGTGCTCGTAGGCCCTATAAATGATTATGGACTTCCTTTAACTTCCTCTTTACTGCGCGAGCCTGAGCGAGACAGGTACGGTTACTATCCTCATCCTTACCAGCAATACAAACTTAGTGTATTTGGACCTCCACGTTGAAAAACAGTCATAGGACATGAAACTAAACTTATGCCTGTGTCGATTGAAGACCTGCATGTGTTTTTTTAACGCGTTTTTAAACGAAAAGCGGCTAAGCTAATGCTAGCTGCTAACATTAAACAACGTGGTGCGGTGTAGCTGCGGCCTAGTCCTACGGATGCCCGGTCTGTTAAACGTTTATACGCGATTTATTGTAGTTTCAGAAACATTTAATGAAGCATATCCGATGTATCAGTGTTTCTAGTCAATTCGGTCCTTACACATTACCCTTGTCTTCATAAACCATACGATCGTGTGGCAGATCTGACCGATAGAGTTGAAGCATGGAAGTAATAGTGACAGTTGTAGGTCCCTTTAGCCTGGTAAAAAGTTAATGTCTTTTTTAAATTATTCAGTAAACGCTTTGAAAAACGAACTAGACTGACAGATGGAGAGCCTATTTGGCTTAATTGAACTGACTCTACTTTTTGAGGTTGACTTGATCGTCTTAGTTGTAAATTGTAACTTGAGTTATTGCTGAACATGCATAATGTTTGCCTTTAAAATGTCTTCTGTGCACAAGATTCAAATAACATGTCAAACTTGAATAACCTATTAAAAGTGTAAAATGGTATAAATCTTATATGTAGCGTCCCCCTCATTGTAATTTCTTGGTTTTGCAGGCACTTATAAGCCATCATGCCCGTTGCCAGAAGCTGGGTTTGTCGTAAGACATATGTCACCCCCCGCCGCCCCTTCGAGAAGTCCCGTCTCGACCAGGAGTTGAAACTCATTGGTATGTTTTCATTTTCATAACTTCCGTCCATATATATATATATTTCAAGGTATACCCTTTAATGAGCTATACTAACCTGATTACGGCGTTTCATCTCCCTTTAAGGCGAGTATGGGCTGAGGAACAAGCGTGAGGTGTGGAGGGTCAAGTTCACCCTTGCCAAGATCCGCAAGGCTGCCAGAGAGCTGCTCACTCTGGATGAGAAGGACCCAAAGCGTCTGTTTGAAGGTGGGTAGGATGAGTTAAAGCTGGTTTGTGTTGGCCGATGATTTAAATATATAAAGTGTCAGACTTCACCATGGTGTCACGAATTCCTCGTCAATGAGGCCAATATTCCTGCTCTGCATAGATTTTTGAACACGTCTTTGTGGTTGTATGTTTAAATGACCTTTTGTGTATATGTGTGGTTTTCCAGGTAACGCTTTGCTCAGGCGTCTGGTGAGAATCGGTGTGCTCGATGAGGGTAAGATGAAGCTCGATTATATCCTGGGCCTGAAGGTCGAGGATTTCTTGGAGAGGAGGCTTCAGACACAGGTCTTCAAGCTTGGACTTGCCAAGAGCATCCACCACGCTCGTGTCCTTATCCGCCAGAGGCACATTCGGTAAGCTCAAAGCAACACTTAACAGGCTCAGTGGTTCGTTTTTTTTTTTTTTCTTTTGTTTTGTTTTTTTGGATGGACTCATGAGAACCTGTCAATGCTTCCTCTTCCATCAGAGGACCACCAACCTGTAACACACCCTGTTGACAACAGTTAAGATTTTCATCAAGGTCAATTCGGTATCAAAACCGTATACCTTGTCAGTAGACATTGCCCAGAGCCAATCCTGCCGCCGAGGGCGCAGACAGTGCCACGGTGTTGTGGCCGTCAGGTAAGGTATGGGGGATTGCACCTCGGGCAATTGTAGTATTTCACTACAGCATTGGATATGAAGTACTCAGGCTGATGATTTAAGTCATAAGTTCAGATTTCCTGTGGTGTCAAGAATTCCTCGTCAATGAAGCCTGCAGTAAATTATACATGTCAAATATTAAAGATTCACACTTTTTCCACCCAGAAACCTTGTGCTTTTTCAGCTTTTAAACCGCAAAGACGACTCTTAAGTGCAACTGGAAGATGCATCAACATTTTCTAAAGTCCTCCTTTTATTGTCTGTCTTGGCAGTGTGCGCAAGCAGGTGGTGAACATCCCCTCTTTTGTGGTTCGCCTGGACAGCCAGAAGCACATCGACTTCTCCCTGAGGTCTCCGTACGGCGGTGGACGCCCAGGCCGCGTCAAGAGAAAGAACGCCAAGAAGGGCCAGGGTGGAGCTGGAGGAGCTGACGATGAGGAGGAGGATTAAGAAGGATGTTGTACAGGAGTGTTTCTTGATACTTCCTGTTGTGACAATTCTCAATAAAATGTTTGGTTTATCCAAAAAAAGTAGCTGACTCTATGCAGTTTTAATAAAATGCAAACTTAAGTTTAAGAGCTTTACTCAAATGGTAGCAAAGTGCTGTACACAAAGAGTCAAATAAGGACATTAAATAGAAGAATACGTAATATTACAGGATACAGCTGACATGTTGTATCATGGTGATTAAAATGTATTCATATAGCACATTTCAGAAACAATCTAGTGTTTTTGTATCATCCAGAGAAGAAAATCCCTGAAAGTTGTATCTGCTCATATGGACCTGTAGACTGGTTAGCTGAGCCTCAGCTGAAGATCTTGTGGTTACTAACAGGGGTATACTTCTATGCAAGTCTGAAAAGTCAGTGACAAAAAATCTTAAAATAAATTCTAGGTTAAATAGGAATAACACATTTTGGGGGTTTAGTAGAAAGTATGGCTGCTGGATTTTTCAATCAAGATAGTGTATGAGATTCAATAGTATGTACTGACTCTAGATTTCTTTTTGTTTGAGCTAATTTTACTAAGTCTCTTTAACTGTGTGGAACAAAACTTGACACCTGAACTGACATGCTTATTCATACTGAGGTTTTTAAAATATTTTAAAACTATACAGCGTTATAGACATAGAGCTCAGGTATGTAGCTGTGAGTGTGCTAGATGCCAGATTAAGATGACAACTATTACTTCACTCTTATTCATATTTAGCAACATGGAAACTAGAGGTGGGAATCACCATACATCCCACGATACGATATTATTGCAATTTTTTAAAAATATTTTGCGATATTCAGATTCTGTACATAAAGGTAAACTTTATCAATATTCATTTTATCTAATATCAAAGTCTCGCACTCAGTCTTTCTCTCATTTCAGTTTTATTGTTGACAAACTGAACGGTTTGTATTACAGTCTAGTCCAACTTAACTGAACGCAACCATCTGGTACAATTACAGCTATTCTGAACTACGCAATTTATAAAAACTATGCAGCCCATTCAGCAACTGAAGAATTTGAAAGTAAATTAAAACAAAATATAATTTTACATTAAATAAAAACGTTTTAAACTTAATTAAAATAAAACATGTCTTAAATTAAAATAAGTAAACTGTCATGTTTATTGCTGCCAAAAAAAAGTTAAACACATTTGGACAGTGAAGAAATGTCAGGATTGTTGCTCAGAAAAAGGATCAACATGCTCTGAAGTCAGAGCACAAAAACCTTTTTGTAACAAAATATCGATTTCTGCTGTCCCTGTATCGATGCATTATTAGCAAACAAAATATCACGATACTACACAGTATCGATTTTTTCCCCTACCCCTAATGGAAACAGGAAGTTGAGTTTAAGATTGTTACTGAGGTTAAAGAGCTGTAAAGCTTTGTGTCATCTCCATAGGATTGAAAACTCAAACTAGGCCTGTGGATGACAAGCTCAAGGTCATAGGTCTTATAGTTTTGTAATCTTAACATCAGACTTTAATGATCCTATGGTGAGGAAATTTGTGTTACCTCAGCTCAGGTACAGATGGCAGAAGAAAAGTACAAAAAATACAAAATAAGTAAGGTTAAACACTATATCCAACAGTAGCATACACAGTATGTGATTATGGATAGAGAGTTGTGGAAATATGCAAGACACAAATTTAACTATTCTACCACTACTATTACTATGTAAGTAATAGATATCTATAAGTATAAACATGTAAACGCACACACACATTTACACAATAAATATACATATGGATGATATACATGCATGAAGTGTGACTGTGGATGTCAACAATGTCCAGTGACTCATGACATTGTGATTGAGGAGTTGCTGTTGGGATGAACGATCTGTGAAAGCGCTCCTTCCTGCAGCAAGGGTATTTCAGTCTCTCACTAAAGGAGCTGCTCAGCACACTCACAGACTCATGCAGAGGGTGATGTGGGTTGTTCATGATGGATGTCAGCTTTACTAACATCCTCCTCTCGCCGCCTCCACAGACTCCAGAGCACATCCCAGCACAGAGCTAGACCTCTGCACCAGTTTGTCAATCCTGCTCCTGTCCCTGTCCGTGCATCCGCTCCCTCAGCAGGCCACTGCAAAGAAAAAGGCAGATGCTACCAGAGTATCATAGAATGTTCTTAACAGAGTCCAGCAGACTCCAAAGGACCTCAGTCTCCTCAGCAGGTGGGGTCGACTCTGGCCCTTCTTATACAGGACGTCTGTATTTGTAATAAATGAGTTTTATTTTCTCTAGACTTTTTGTGAGTGAGTGAGTGAGTTTTCTCATTTCAGTTTAGCTTTTATTTTATTTTTTTTTGAAAATATTTCATTTTAGTTCAGTTTCTATTAGTTTTAGTTTTTATTAATTATTATTTCGTGAAGGGTCTTGTAGACATCCAACGTCTCAATAAGGCATCTATCAAAGCCTTATATAGCAAGTTTTAAATATATATTCGATCTATCCTTCAAGCTCAGGAGCTTGCGGGTCCTGCACAGAATCTTAGCTGCTCCTAAGACTGCAGTCTTCTGGACAGAGATCTCAGGTGTTGTTCCTGGGATCTGCTTCACTTGTCTACCACCACTATGTCCGATTGGTTAGCCTCCAACATTTTGTCCGTCTGTATCTAGGAGTCCCACAGAATCTTAGCTCAGTCATTCTTGACCACCCATTTTGACCTCAGAACTTCCAGGCCATACACTCCACAGATGGTCCTGTGTACTACACTGACCACTTGGTTATAGCTTTACATGTATGCCCTGCCTGCTAGCATCTTACACCCTCCTGTTATGTGCTGGATTGTCTCAGAGGCATCTTAACACAGCCTGCACCTGGGGTCTTGCCTGGTGTGATAGACCCCAGCCTCTGTGGATCTTGTACTTAGAGCTTGTTTCTGTGTTGCCATGATTAGTGCCTCCATACTGGATTCCTTGATTGTCTGTAGTGCTGTATTGACCTCCTCTAGTAGACCCTGAGAGGGTGGTGGTTACTTCTACAAGATTACTTCACATAATCTTGGTAACCGGCTACCGAGGGTCCAAGTTTCCAGGTTGGCGATGATCCTATCTTTCAGGTCAGTTCCTCTTGCTCAGTTAGCATGTTAAATGTTAACATGAACTCCCTCGCTGAAACAGATCACATACAGTGGACTTGTTCCCCACCCTTCTTACTACTTTCAGTGTTTCTTTTTCATTCTTGCTTATGTGACAAAGGCTTCTGACTCTCAGCGCTCAATAGCCACGGGTCATACATACATACCGACTTCAAACTTTTCCACAATTTCCACCACGTCGGGTGGCAGCGGCGGTACGTCACAGGCTTAAGGACTATGTCGGGAGGGTCTGAGCAGCTCGACGGTTTTTATGTGAAATAAATTATATTTTAGAACCCTATATTTTATATTTCCTTGGTACCGCCACTACTCTTCCCGTTTAAGAAGGGTTTCCCTTTTTAGACTTAGAAGAGACTAATAATTAAAAACAGAACATATATAGTCTTTATCCCGGGCCTGATATACTGATATATGACTGAGCATCAGCATAGAGCACTCAGGTGTGTGTTAACAAAATGCTACACCTCTCAGGAGAGGATTTCCCAGCAAATTTATCCCAACACCAAATGGTGCAATGTTCGGAGAAAACGGCAAAACACCTGATGGCTACATCTCAAACTGTACAGGCCCTTGGTGAACTGAAGCAATATTGTGGAGTATAGAAGAGTGGATCAAAATTTCTCCACAATAATGTCACAGACTGATATTGTGATAAAGAAAACTGGCTTACCGAGGTTCAAACTATATGTTCGGGCACCATGTCTCGCATATATTTTATTAAGGTTTCATTTTTAAAAAGTCGACACTTTAAATCAGGGGTCCCCAATCCCAGTCCACAAGGGCCGGTGTCCCTGCAGGTTTTAGATGTGTGCTTGATCCATCACAGCTGATATAAATGGCTAAATGACCTCTTGAAGTGCTCCAGAGGCCTGGTAATGAACTAATCATGTGATTCAGGTGTGTTGACCCAGGGTGAGATCTAAAACCTGCAGGGACACCGGCCCCTGTGGACTGGGATTGGGGACCCCTGCTTTAAATGTTTTCGCTTTTAGTGGCATCTAAAGTAGGGTGACCATATTTTGATTTCCAAAAAAGAGGACACTTGGCTCAGTCATGAAGAACTTGCTTAAAGAAACATAAAATCGGCCAGGGCATTTTGACTAGAGACCGGCCCATCAGGTATTATAGGAAAAGCCATAAAGCCTTTGAATGAAAACAAACGCTGTTGTAACAGTGATGTACACTGTCTTGTTAGTATATGTACGATTTCTATACATTTTACATCAGATGAAAACTTTGGTTGTAAGATTCCCTGTTAATGCCCTACCTGGCCCCCCTGACAAAGCTTTGCTAGACCCGCCCCTGCACAGTTACCAGCTGTCAGCTATATAGAAAAGGATGCTGGTGTTATTTGTCTCTCGGTAACAGTTCATAACTTCCCTTCAACTCATTCATGTCACTTAAAAGGTAAACCTGTTTCTCCATCACCTGTTCAGCTCTGATGATTCAGTAAGGACATCTCCTGGTTTCATCTTCATGTTTCCCTCTCACCAGGATATCCAAACTGACATCATGACGAGCAGCTTTTACAGCTGTGGCTCCAGCAAACATCAGCTGATACTAGAAAGTAATATTAAATACATTCTAACAACAGCTGATCAAGCTTAAACGTGCTGCTGTTGTTTAGTGCGACATCCCCTGGTTTCTTCTTTCTGGCGCAAAGTGGGCGATAAACAAACATGAGAGAAAAGCCGATCAGCTGATCATTGATCAGTTTCATGATTGAAGTTACAACAGGAGAGGGAGCGGGAGAGAATGAGAGAAGAAGAGGCACCTGACAGCATAAAGACACAGAATAACTCCAGCTTTGTGTCTTTTTCATTGTAGCTGAAGTCCGGGACAAACTGTGTTCATAATAAGCTCAATACCTAATATTGAGTAATATTTTCTCTGAATACTAGACGATTCTGTTTTTAACTAACCTTGTGA